GATATTCTTCTTCTAATTTATCTTCCATGCACTTGTGTAATCTTTACAAATCACTTGATGGACTACTGCTCCCCTCTGCTTAAGAATTTTCAACAGATACTATTCCTTCATGACAACGCATCAGTTTCCTACATAAAATTTTCATATATGTATAATATGCATTTATATATAGTGTATTATGTATGATATAAATTAATTTAGTCAACATCCCCTGTATCAGTTTATGCATGTACCATTTGATATCTCCAATCAGAACTGTAGTTAGATCTTAGTTGCTTGCTTCCGATGTCACTTTCCCATGTCCCACAGATTACATAATATGGAAGTTACGCTGTTATGTGCAATTTTTGTGACCAATGGGGTGATATTTCTCTGTATTATGTATATGATATGTATAATAAATAGGGTATTTGATTATTCAAAAAACAATGTAAACAATATATGCTTTGGAGATTTATATTTATATACTTAACTTTCCTAGGTACTGAAACCTATACTCTCTAAAGCATTGCGGTTTAGCTTGTTTGCTAGCCACCATTCTGGAACATGGTGGCTGTTGCATGGCTTTCTTCTCAAAGCAACCTTTCACTTTTGCAATTTTGAGGCTGCAAAAGATGGAGACTTGTTGCTTCTTGTGATGTTCTCAGGTCAGCTTTTATATTCTCCTGTTTCATCTCACAATGATCTCCTCAGCTCTATCATTGCAGTTCATACCCTTACTGGGACTTCCTTTCTGGCTAAATTCACATCATAAACCCTTCTACTGGCCTCTTTCGTCTTGATTTTCAACACAGATCTGACTAAAAACCCACAACAATAGTCATGCTACTACCTCAACATTCTACTGTCTTAAAATTTTTACTAGCAGTTTAATTAGCCCACTGCTCTTAATCTTAGTCTCAGGCAGTCTTTGGACATGAGCAAAATGCAGACAACCTTTTGCCAGGCCATGACACACATCCTCTGGACTCCAACAACCAACACAGTCCTTCTTTCCAGCTGAAACCTCCTAAACCAGGTCTTTACTGGCAGGATTTCTATCAGCCTCTGGTCATCTGAAGTCTGACCAGAATTTTCTGTACACAATAGTCAAAGGTTCCAGTTCTAATCTTCCAGGCGATATCTCAGAACCTTTCCAAATTCTTCCCACAAGCCATTCACAAAGATTTGAATGATACAATCAGGTATATAGTCACATCAAGAATCCCACTTCTCTGATACCAAATTCTAAATTCTATATTGTTTACTTTCCTAGTGTTGCTAAAACAAAATAATTGACATCTAAAGTAAAAGAAGGAAAGGTTTATTCAGCTCACAGTTTGTGAAGATTTCAGTCCATAATCAGCTGGCTTCAAGGCAGAGTGGCATAGCACAGGGGCAAGCTTTCATGATGATGAAAAATAGCAAAAGTAACAAAAGCAAAAGAGAGGAACAAGCAAAAAGACTTTTTCTGTCCCTTATATTGTATGTAGGCTACCCACCCTAGGGTGGGTATAGCACTCACACAGCCTTTTTCCCAGCATTGGACCATGAGTCAGTTACAAACTCTAGAAGCCTGCACCCATGACTGCATGAGGCTTTGGGGGGACATTAAGACACAAACTATAACAGACACTTTTCAGATAAGACATGAAAGTTAAAGGATAAGTAGGATTTGGCCTTGTGCAGATCTAAAGAAAAAACATTCCAGAATCTATAATGCTAAATCCCTGGTGGCCCATTATTATTTAAATATATCAATATGAATATAACACAGTCAGACTAAATTCTCAGATTGAAGGAAAAATATAACTAAATAAAAATTATACACAATTTGCAAGAAAGTCTAAGTTATAAAAGTTCAGCAATTGAGGTTAAAGTTTGGAAAAATGAAAAATATAAGCATTAACTAAAATAAAAATCTTACATTCTGTTAGTATAAAAATAAAATTTAATACAGACCATGAGTACTTGAAGTAAAGACATGCATCAGGGGTAAAAGTTTATTCTACCAGGATTATGTAGAATTATGATTTTAAGTACACATTTGTTTAAGCCTAACATTTCAAAAATATTAGAGGAAAAATAACAGAAGCATGAAAAAGAGATAGACACACAAAGAAGATATTTTAATACAGTTTATTCATGAACTGAGAGACACAAGAGAAAAAAGAAAATCATAACTATAGCAAAAATATGAACAATATGACTAGAAACCTGACCCAATTGAAATATATACAGAATATTACGTCCAACATCTGTAGAAAATACATCCTTTCAAAAACACATGGAAAATTCATGAAAAATTACTAAACAAAATAGTTTAGAATACAACTTTTAGCATTTCTATTAAAACTAAAGAAACATATAACAAGGGATTTTCACTTAGTGTTACTAAAAGTACATACAAAAGCTAGACTACATCTACCAATATCTGTACTCTCCCTTAACGCAAAGATCACCTCACAAATACCATTATGCATTTTATATTTTTATTGATATCTAATTATCCTGATAAGTGTACATTTTACAATACAGGAGGTAAGAACCTCCTGACAAAACAGGAAACCAAGAGAGGGGATAAGAATGGCCTGCCACACAGGAAAAGAAAGTTAGCACACGGGCTTGTCAGTGTAGGGGATCTGTGTGCACGAAACATGCAGTTATCCTGGGGGAGGACCATCTCGTGACAATTGAAACAAATATTATTTTTGTTGTTGAAGTCATGCTATTTTCATGTAGTTCATATAGGAATGTATTTCTGACGCTATCTTTAGGTTTTGTAAGGAAGTATGCAGTTGGTGTGAAAAGATTGACATTTATTCTAAATGTGTAATGCATATTAAGAATTTAATACTTTATTGATATGTTATGTTTCTGTTAACTACACATTGTATAATATAATAAGAACTTTTTGACAAAACAGCAAGACCAATGAGACATCAGTTACATTCTACAACATCGCTAGGAAAGCAAAACACATTGATTATGAGATACTTGTATAAATGTGCTGTTGTCATGTGTGAAAACTGCCTTTGGTGTGATAATTGAAGTAAAGATTATTTCTTTGAAGAGTTCTATTGATGTTTTCAGTGTAGCTATATAGGGATTTATTTCTGTTGTTCTCTTTTAGACTTTGTACACCAAAGTAATTAATATTAGAAATTTTGATACGGTTTTATAAACACACAATAAATGTTAAAAGTTAGACACTATCTTAAAATAATTTTCCTGTTAAGTACTCATTGTTTAATATACTAAAACTCATAAAATTAAATTTAAGTTACTAATTCATCAATAGAAATATTCTAAAGAACGAACTTTAGTACTGTGCACTCACAATAATGTGCCTTTATGACAAAATTGACATTATGCCCTATGGGTAAACTTGAAGGTCTACTCAAGTCTTTATGTTTTTGTAATCTTTGTTGGTTTTAAAATAAGATTAATACATTTCACCAATTGTATTTGTCATATTTTATTAAGAGCCTTTATATGGAAATTATTATTGAAAGCATCAGTCTGCAGTCTACATCCTTAAAGATAAATCCAGTCAGATCATATTTTTGCAAATAAAATTTTCCTGAAGCATAACCTCTCCTGTACTTTGTTGTATTGCCTTTGGCTGCTTTAGCAGAACTGAATACCGCCAAAGAGACTGTGTGATCCATACAATCTAAGCTACTTACCACGGGGCTATTTATAGAGAGATTTTGCCAAACCTGGTGTAAGGTTTTCAACAATACACTGTGTATTGGGTCCTCTGAGTTGCTAGATATCCAAATTGTAAAAAAGACACAATGGATTTTTATTATATAAAAAGGAAGATATTATTTTATCTATGATGCTATTTATTTGAATAGTCACATATTACTTTGAATATCATAATAGAAAATGAAATATTTTCATGAGAATCTAATTACCAGATGAAACACCATAATGTTTATGTACATGGACAAAGTTTAATGTAGGAATTATAAACTATACAATCTAAGTAACTACAAAGGAAATGAAAAAGAACTCTTACACAGTCTAGAGGTAACAGTGCAAAAAAATGTAGCTATTATCTCTCAAAGAGCATATAACAATCAATCAAAGGATTTTCAAGAACACCCTTTCGAGGCTGAAGTTCAGACTTCACTGGTACGGCACAGCATGACACCCACAAGAACACACAAGTCTGCCCATGGCCAGAAAATATATCAGAGAGTTCAGCCTAGCATCGGCCTGTGGAAGGGGCCTATTACTGCAGAGAATGGACAGGTCAGAGCTGATCTTTTGAAGAGCTGATCTAGTTGGAAACAATTTGTTCTGAGAAAGCCTGATCTAAAGATGGAGCCAAGTTCCACCACTGAATCATAAAAATAATAGATCAACCAGAAGAGAAGAGGCTTCTTTCTTCCCCATTTCCTTGCAGTTTCACTCCTGGTGTTTTATGAATGAAAATTTACATTCTTGTACCAAGAACCACAAGATCCAACACCGGTACCCTAAAGCAGGGCACAAACGCGTACATATGGGCTTGAGAAACAGTACACATTTGTGGAAGAAGAAGCTACAGAATATATATATATATATATATATATATATATATATATATATAGTATTATTTTTTAAAATGATTTCTACTAACATTTACTTCATAAGATTAGATTTCATATAGGCATTTTTGAAAGGGGTTTAATTTGTGATGGACAGGTTCACTGCTATGTATCTAAGGTGATAGTAAGATAGTGTTAAGAAAATAGAGAAGAGTAAGATAGAAGGATGTTGTGAATGGATATTGTGCAATTCTAGTTCATTACTCTGTACAGAAAAAAATTATCTGAAAGAAAATAAAAGTGGGAAATAGTGACAAATAATTCTGTTTTGTTTGCCTCTTATTTTAAATATTTCCAGGCTCCTTCAAAATCTTCCAATGCAGTTTTTGATGTTTGCAAAGGGTATCATGCATGCAGACACAGTATAATGCTTCTCAGTGGTCATGCACTATCATCCATTTTTTTTCTCTACTGCTCCAGATAAATGGAAAAAGATTGCTTGCTGCTGAAGTTGCTAAAATCACCACCAAGCCACAGAAACACTGCCAAAGCAGCCAACGCTCTCAGTGCCCAGGCCAAAATTGCTGGTGCCTATGCAAAGGGTAAGACGATGCCTACACTCTTGTTAGAAGTGCTCATAATGCAAAAGCGTGGCATCTTCCCTCAATTCCACTCAGGCACCATTTCTGGGGATTGCTGCCTCTAGGGCTTCTGGGTTTACTACTCCCATGAGCTGTCCAATTGCCATGTACCTTACACATGTTTAACAGATATTTTAACATTCAAACCTTTGCTTCTCTTCTCACCTTAGAACCTAAGCACATTTTCAAGTGGGGAGCTAACTACTAGTTTCCCACTCTGCCTGAGATATGGACCCCTAGTTCTGAACATGTCATCCATTCTGCCACTTGGAATTGTCTCCCATAAAGCTTTTTGGTCTCGAATTCAAAGAAATTCCAGATGACTCTCAACTGTTGAATCTCTAGACTTCCATGAATTTCTAGGAATTCTTTAGTTTCTATTGATGTTGAAATCTGTGAACCCCTAAACTAGAAAAATAAAATTTTCTACCTTCAAAACATGAGAATTTAACATCTCATCATGAATTCTTATAATGAATTATCTTTTCACGTGTTTCTTTAATTGATAAATTTCTCCAAAGTAGAATTTTTTCTTTGTTTCTTTTTTTGATACCAGGGATAGAACTCACAACCTTGCATTCGCCAGGCTGGCTATATGCTGCTGATCTAAATCCTCAGTCAAGAGTAGAATTTTTTTGTCTTCCACAAAATGAGCATTCAGTTAATGTTTATGATTCAGATGTGCATGAAAAGGAAGTGAAATAACAAGAATTAAAGGAAATCCAATGTCATGTTCATATTCATTTTGGTTTATTTTATGCTAAGTAGTCAAATAGTTTTTCAGCTGATTTTCATGAATTAACTTGTTGAAAAAGAATGCCAAAGATTATTACCATTACTATTCATGGAAGTATTTATTTAGACTATTATACTTGCAAAGTTTTCCACTTGCACCTTAAGATTTGATCACTGATGGAACAGGAAGAGCCAGTAGAACAGTTGCTAATAGTAACATATCTTGAGGATAAACAGGAGGGAACTGATGGAGAAAATTGCAGAGTTACAGGGAGGATATCAAAGTAAAAATAGAATAATTTAGAAATCACCATTTTTCTTTGACTAGTTCTTCTGGCAGTCAAAGTCCCCAAACAGAAGCTCCTTGAGCCAAGACTTCCTTTGAAACCTCTTCTATTTCATGGAAACTAATTTTTAAAATGCTCAGTGGTTTAGGAACATGAAGAATCAGTTTACAAATCATTATCCACTCTGTGAAAAGAAAAAGAAAAAAAATCATTGAGAACCCAAATTTTAAAACCATATAACAGAGCTAAACATTAAGTCATGTGACAAATTAGAGGGACGTTGGAGTAATTTCAACACAGTCCAATCATCAGGCTTCAGTCCTCATAGTGATTATGCTCTCAGCTTACATACATCTCTGCGTTACTGTGGTATCTTAATAACATCTGTTAAAAATCCTGACATGTCAGTAATGTGAGGCGAGGACATCCTCCAGGGTACCTATGCCAACAAGCAGAAGTCTGTTCTAGTTACTGAGGTTTTTAGTCTTTCTGACTATATATAGCTCACACTTCTCTAATCTCCTTACTTTAGAATAGGGTATATTTAATAGCTCAGTGAAAATAAACAAGTCATGATTATTAACTTTAACTGGTTTAAAAAAATTTCTATAACATGTGGTTGAGAAAAAATATCTATAATAGACATCGGACAAGTAGGTGTTAAATCTGGACGCAGGAGGAGAGCTATACCTTATATATGCTTTATCTTAAATATGAGTCACCCATTTTGCTACTGATTAAAGCAGTTTTTAAATTTTTGTTTTGTTTTTCTATTCCTAAGATTGAGTATGTCTCCAATCACTTTACTTTCTGGCCCAAATGTAATCCTCAGTTCTAAAAAAAAATGTATTTTCATTCAGGAAGGCCTTTACACATAGAATTTCTACATTTATTCACCATTATTATTTTCACATAACCTTCAAATCTGACCTCAAGCTACCATTTTCTTTATCTGCTTCCTTTGGTCTCCAAGAAAGGACTTCCTCTCAACTGAAGTATTTGCAAAGTTATAATAATGTGCCTGTTTTTCTACACCTTCACTGAAAATGCCCTATTGAAGGGCAGGAGTGCCATGTCTGCTCTCTATACCTTTCCTGTTTAGCGTACTTGTGGAACACAGATGAGAAAAATAGTAATTTGCTAAACGACTGAACCTGCTGTCATGGTTTATGTTTGTGTCCCCCAGGCCTCCTGAGTTTGTATTGTTCATTTGTGATGGTTCACTGTATAGTGCTTGGATTGATGGTGTCAGTGCTCCACCCACATAGGGGTGGAGCCAGGATGTGATGTAATGGCAGGAAGAAGGTGTGTCTTTCTCTTTGCTGGTTGGAGCTTGCCCTTTGCATCTTACTCTAGCAAGTCTCCCTCTGATAATGTTACAACACAGAGGCACAGAACTACTACACATCTTAAAACCCTTCATATTTTTTGTTATAATAGTTTTGGTTCAAATAGTTAATTCAATCTATTTTTCTCCTCCTGTGGCTGACACAGAAGATATTAATAGATACACAATCAAGGAAAACAATTTGCTGCTGTATTTAAAGAGCTCTAGAAACCTCGGCTGTCAGGACCTCTTCCAACCACATCTCCACTGACACCACTGCGCACTCTTATCTGAACCTTCAAACATTCCTTTCTCTTCCTGGGAGTGTGCCTGGTATTTTGCCTCGTGTGAAGTATCAGAGTGAGAGAGAATTAAAAACTTTGTTGAACTTCAAGACAATCCTTGTGCTTTATGGGATATGTAATTTGAAGCAGAACATTTCACTTTGTGCCAAAATCCTCCACTGAAGAATTATTGACGACCCCAGAACTTTACTGTGTTTTACAAGGTTCAATTAAATATTAAACTGTGATGGTGGTCATTGTTTATTGAATTCATATTGTGCTTAAATTTGATTTACATAAATTGCTAAAAGTCAGCAGCCTTACAAAGTAAACATTGAATGAAATGTCTCTTAAATGGAAATATTACCCAAATATCCTGTGTGTGTGTGTGTGTGTGTGTGTGTGTGTGTGTGCCAAAGTAGGATACTGGGGAAAACATGAATGCTAATCTAGTCAAAAAGAACTGAAATGTAGCAAACGAACACACCAGAATATGAAAGGAGATTGAACCATTTGATGGATTTTTAACCTGTTGTATAATCCTAAAATCAAGACAATAAATAAGCAATGTACTCTCCAATAGGAGCTACTGTTCTATTATCTTTAAGAAAATAATTACATAGCTAAATCTACTTCAGCAAATACCTACAAGAGCTTATAGGTGAAACTTCAAGAACAGGCCACTGATCTTGGAAAACAAAAACAAAACATCAGTTCAATTATGGGGAAAATTTCCATTACCTTAACACAAATCAAATATCACACCACTGTTGAGATGTTGAAATTGAGTGAGTGAATCGTTTTCACTCAATTTTTGTGCATACTCTCTTTCCAACTACGGTTTCTCACTTAGCCAATTTCATCTCAGCAAAAGAAAGAAAATGTTTTCTGTTCCTTCATCAGATAGAGTATAATTAGGATTCAGTGTGATTTAAACTCTATTTCCCAGGACCAAAGTAGAGTTCAAAAGTGGAAAGTTGTCTTAATAGCTTAAAAACATAAGACAGATACCTTAAGTAATGCACCACAGTTAAGATCTAATGGCAACTGCAAAATTAAAATCAAAATCAAACCAAATAGTAGGATGACTAGTACCAGCCAGCCAAAAAACATCTGATGTACAAAACAAAAAGAACTAAAGAAAAAAATAATAGACAAAAAGAAAGTGACCTGGGGGTTGCCTACTTTGAAATATCTTCAGCAGCCATCCAGAGCCAGGTTAGGAATTCTGTAGGTCAAAAAACCTGACGGAACATTTATCCCTTTCTGACAGAAGACATGAAAAACTTAGCTGTGAAGTGAACACACTACACCCTCTGGACCTCAGTACCCTCCCTGTGTATTAGGGAAAATCTTTCACTTAGCAGAGTCACTGAAAGCAGATGTCTTCTTGTAACAAATACGTAGTTAGTTGAAGAAAGCTTTTGAAGAACCAAGATTTTTCTCTGTCATTCAAGAAAGATTGTTATAAAAAAGAAACGGAAATTTTTGAAAGAAAAATGAAAGCAATTGTTTGAAGACGGCCTAATCAAATGAAGAGAACAAAAAGGATATAAGGTTATTCACGTTTCAATTGGCCTTTAATGTTCTTGAACTGAAGCATGTAAATTAATATCTCACATTCAAATCAGTATTTTTAGGTCAAGTAAAAAGACTGAGTTTAATGAATCTGCTTGCTGTTTATAAAGGTATAGGTATTGAATATAAAGAAGCGTTTCTTTTTTTATTAGTGTACACAAGCCTAAATATCAATGGCTTCTTTTATATGAGAAACCACAAATACAAATAAATAAAGAGCAAAGTAGTAAAGCATTCCTAATGGATGCTTATTTCACGGTAGTTAAATATGTTAACAGCTCTTGTATTTTAAATCCCCAGTCACATAAAGAGCTTTCTCCTTGGAATTATTAATTCCTGGGGTTGAGGTATCAGGTGTTGATCCAGATTGACCCCTCCAACTTCTTCACTAAACAAAAATGAAATTTTATATCTGTGTGTAGTTAGCATGTCGTCTTCTGTAGACACCCTCTGAATTGTCCTGAATATCTTTTGGCACACTAACAAAGGGTTTCTAGAAAATAAAGTAATACAAAGATAGATATCTAATTCTAGGTAATTTGTGCCAAGGAGAAGAGAGTAATTCAGGACGGGGGACATAGCTTAGTAGTACAGCTGCCATACTGTACATGGGCAAAGCCTTCAGCTTGAGATACAGAATTTCAAGTAAAAAGGTAAGGTGACTATCTGACATTTCAGAGCTATATACAACATGTAGAGATAGAAACGTGGGCTCTGCAGACATCAGTCTTAAATCTCACCTCTGCCTCT